ACCAATCATCAAATCACATATTAAGTCAAAAAGACCATATAACAATGTCATATATGACAGACGTGCATTGAAATCTGAAATATGTACAGTAAAACCTGTTTCATCCGACATGCACTGGAAGACAAATTTTGTGTCGGAAAAGACAGGATGTCAGATTGCACAGTGTTAGAAACATAGAAAATACTAAAATGGGAAATAAATTTCACCAGTGTGTCATTATTCATTAACTTTTCAAAATTAAATAAATGCTGATAAAATAATTTCACCTTTCAGTATAAACTTGTAAAATTATTCATGTACCTAGTTTTTGTCTGACAGGTGCTCCTATGGATGGCAAGGTGCCCTTTGTGACCTGTGTATCCCCTACCCTGGCTGTAAGCACGGATCCTGTAACGGCTCCCCCTGGAGCTGTGTCTGTGACATGAACTGGGGAGGGATTCTGTGTGACAAAGGTAAGGCTGGGCTCTCAATCTACAGTGACTTACAACAGATTAATTGATTAATTGATTGCAGTGTTTAACTTTCTTGCCAGAGTAATGACAGAGGTAGAGACAACTCTAAAACAATATGCCTCTCAATCATTTGTATCATTGACACAAAAAATATTGTGCATGTAAATGTACTATTGAGACCAAAGCAAACAACAAACAACAGAGTTGACCTCTCAGTGTCTTAATTTTAGAATTTAAAAAATTCAAATTGACAAATTACTTTGACAAAGTTTGGTTCCTGTAAAGATTCAAAGAAGATGAAAAAGTTGATCCAATAACAGTTATCAAACCTCAGTCTTTTTGTTTTTATAAATGGGCTGAGAAATTCAAATTATCCTTACATAATAAAAATCTTTGTGCAACTACTTTGACAAAGTTTGGTTCCTTTTTTTTTTTTTTTTTTTAAATCAGATTTTTGTTAGATAACAAGTAATAGAGCTTTTCCATGTTTTCATAGACCTACTAAACATGAGTAAGCTCCACTCTTGATAAAAAAAACCATTGATTGATAAAATCAAAAGTCAAAAATTGAAAATGAAATAGTTTCAATATTCTGAAAATTAAAAAAAAAAAAAAAATTACAAAATGGCTAAAAAAAAGTTTGGGTCGGGTACATTTTCAGTGGGTCGGTAGGCAACTGCAAATAAACTAATTTTTATTTTATGCCTTATTAATCTCAATGGTTGACTTATGATAATTATTATCAAAGTACAAAGTTATTATTATAATTTACAAGGCACAGACAAACATATGAATCTAGATATCAAATGCCACAGTCATTTTCCTTTTGTAACAGTGAAGAAGGGTTGGGGGATAAAAGTGCTCATCAATGGCCAGATTTATCTGCCTTTTATTACTGTCATATGATATTTTTATCAATCCTGAAGCTGATTCACAACACAGACACAACATGTGATTGATTTTACAGGTTTTTCATTGGCTATAGTTATCATTTAATGATCACATTAAAATTCCCAGCATCCCTTCAAAAAAGCAGAGAAGATTCATCAGCTTTAACTTTTATGTTCCTGCTTTCTGTGAAAATATATTAAAAAAACAATTTCTGAACGATATTAAGAGGAATATGAAGACACTGATGACAGTTCTTGTCATATATTTCTCAGAGTTTCCTCGTATTTTTTCATTAAATTCTCCATCAAGGAAATCAAACACCCAGCAACAGAAACTGATCAAAAGCTGGAATATTGAAGTCTGAATTGATGAGTCAAATAACTCTTAATGTCTTCCTTACTTTGTTAAAACTTGAAAGTAATTGCATCAGAAGATTTTAAGGCAAGAGATTTTCAATTTGTTATAAACTTTGTGGCATTTAAAGGTGCATAAACAAAGCTAAGCTTGATAAAAAGAATTATAGGATAAAATTCAATTTATAATGATTATGTTTACATTGCTTCTGTGAAAATGAGAATTTTTACCACACCTAACTTCTTTGACTGGTGAGGGTTCATCACTTGCTAATGGGCCTATCCTGCGATAGGAGGGCATTTTGACCTTAGAGGTGAAAGATCCATGTGATTGCTTTTCCACATGGAAAAATAGGAGAAAATTGCATTCAAATCATCTTCTACTGTAGATTTCAGCAGCAGACCTTTATATATAGAAAGCTTCTGATCTCCATAAAATGTCATTTAATGAAAAAGAAAGCAGTGGGGAGTTTGAGCACAATTTGGAGAAATATACCTTTTTCAATAGAGCAAATTTTTGCTTTGAGGGGATTTTCAAAAATATTACTATCATACACTGGGGCCTGAACCCTCTCTTAGTACAAAAGAGGCAGACAGTTTTATGGTTTACCTGAATCAAACATTCTGAACTTGGCAACACGAAACCAAAACTAATTAAATTTTATTCATCAAAAACAGTGAAAGGAAAAACTTCTACACTTAAAATATATAACAATTGCATTTAAATTTATTACCCCTCCCCCCTTTCCAATATACAGTAAATTATTTTAAGCTTTACATAAGATACGTATTTTAAAATAATTATAAAAAATAAAAAATGTCTATATAAGTTATAATCTTTATAATGTAATGATACCAAAATATCATACTTTCTTCACAAACAAATTATAGATTACTGGTAGAAAAATTAGCATGTTTCTACAAGAATCACAATTTTCGTTTTCAGATTTAAATTACTGTGGACGACATCATCCGTGCCAGAATGGGGGAATTTGTAAGAACACGGCTCCGGACAGTTACGAGTGCACATGCTCCGAGGGCTTCTCCGGAATCAACTGTGAAATTGGTGAGCAACCTCTCTCCTTGTCATCCGAGCAGAGAGGAATACATAGAAAAGCACTATAAACTAGCTTTTATTTATGTGCGATAAATATCCACAAGTTTTCAAATTTTATTTTAACTCGCAATAATTATCACCCCTAACCATTTATTTTGCTGTGTATTTGTATGGGATGTGTCCTTGGTCACAAAAATTAATCATCTCAAATTAATTTCATTTTTGCAGAGTCGCAAGAAAAATATAGATTTCCAGTAATCAGAATTTAAGGTTTTGCATGCCTGTAACTCATCTACATCTATTGTTTTTATTAATCAGCTGAGCATGCATGTTCAACCCAGCCCTGTAAGAATGGGGCCAGCTGTATTGACACGACGGGAGGGTTTATCTGTACCTGTGCCCCCGGCTGGACAGGGGCATTCTGTGAAGACAGTAAGTAAAGGCTAAATCTATCATGATCTACATATAATTCATCAGAAATAGCTCGATCAGCATAGGTGTGTAAATGTAGGTATTTTGTGACTTGAGGAAAAGCCATGATATTATTACGCAATAACAATCATATTATAGCCAAGAGTTCATCTAAATTGGTTTGAAATCGTGTAATACATAAAATCAGTTTATTTAGTTTCAGACTAGTTTTGGGTTATGACATGACATTTATAGTAAACATGAGTTTCCATCATCACTTCATTCACTTTTGTACTGTAGATGTCAGCGAGTGTGCTTCAAACCCCTGTCTCCATGGCGGCACATGCGTTGACGGCATCAACAGCTACAGGTGCCTCTGTCCCCGGGGGTGGGGCGGTGCTCACTGTCAGCTGGACTCGGACGAGTGCAGTGGGAGTCCCTGTGTGAACGCTCACTCCTGTGAAGATCTCCAGGGTGGATACAAATGTCACTGTCAGATCGGATGGACCGGGAAAAAATGTGACCAAAGTATGGGTAAAAATATCACAAATAGGAGAACAAACAAGTAGATTCACATTTCTCTAGATGACTCAGAATTCTTTCAAAAATTGTTGTCAAATGCATTTCTGACTCATTTCATGAACTGTAGAAATTATGTTATTGAGGATAACTTTTTAAAAATTGAAATACAGAACAATGGGGAGAAGAAATGGATGACCATACATGTTCATATAAGTTTGAGAGAGCAACTGCTAAGATTATAAGAATTGAGAAGAAGGACTTGGCCAGTAAAATTTAGGTGCAGTTCTTGTCAGCTTAGTTCACAACTTTATTTTGGGATAGAATATACAAAACCCCAAATTTACTTCAAAAAGCTGCCAATTTTTTCTTCAATATTACAAACATTTAGCCATATCTCAAAACAAATTTATGCAAAAATTTGGAAAGCTTTATTGCAGCCAATCCATCATGGTGTGTGGTCAGTGGAAATGCAGTAATAACAATATTGTTGATACAATATGATATTTTATAAATCATTTATCTATAAAATGTTAAATGTCATTTGATTCTGATTTGATGGGGCTATTAATGACTACGCTGATTGAATTTATGACTCTATTTTTACAGACATTAACGACTGCCATCATCAATGTCAGAATGGAGGACATTGTGTGGTAAGGCTGGTTCAAAATTTCTATCACTCACCAACATATTACTGTCTTTGTGTTAGGGTGCCTGCATGCATTTCTGATTCATGAAACTCCCAAAAGAGTTAAGGCATCTCAAAAATTTCATTCACAAAATTGATGCCATTCATGAAAGTTCATTATTTATAAGTTAACTTAAATTTTAGAATGGAGTGCATTTAGTAACTTTTTAAAAAAAAATTTAAACTTAAAAAAAAATCCAGATGGCTAGGATAGGAAAAAGAGTCAATGTATTACAAGAGAGATAACTCATACAAATTCTCAGCATTATCATCAGTCAAGATTATTATACGTTTCAGGACCTGGTGAATTCGTACCACTGCGCGTGTCTCCCGGGTTACACAGGTCGTCACTGTGAGACAGAGATCTGTGAGTGCTGTAGTTCACCCTGTCAGAACGGGGCTACCTGTCATGAACAGGTGGCTGGTTATACCTGTGAATGCCAGGTGGGATATACAGGATTTAACTGCCAGGTAAACCCTCTTCTATTCTGAGCCCTACAAGCTGTGTGCTATAATCATTTAGTACTAAAATTACCATTATTTGCTGATAAATTCTTTTTTCCCCTCTACATGTAGATTGATGTGGATCCCTGCCACCCGAATCCTTGCATGAACGGTGCCAGTTGTTTCAATGTCCAGGGAGATTATTACTGTCACTGCTCTGACCACTGGGAAGGGAGGCACTGTGAAAACACAAAGTCAACATGTGTGTCAGGGACATGTCAAGGTTAGCCAATGTCTTATCGAATTCCTCAGAAATTCTGATCAAATTAAATATGAGGTGTTAATAATAGGAGCACAGAAAATTCTTGTGTGACAGAAGCAAGGTAAGGATGTAAACAATGATGTCTGAAAAAATTGCACAAGAAGCTGAATCAAGCACATTTCTTACATCAGAAATACAAACTCACTTCATGATAGAGACAGCCAGACTAGAGGGAACATGAAATTAGGCGTCGCTTTTTGTAGGATGACAGATGATGTAAGAATTCAGTTAGACATTAAAGACACTCTCAGGTGTCAAGATATCATACATTCATATAATATTTGCCAAAAGAGCAGAATCAGGGGCAGCAAATCTGATAATTATGAAACGTCTACAAATAATATACATGTATATAGATGATCTTATTCAGGTAACAATGTGTCACTTTCGATTGTAGTGATAGACAGCTGTACTATTGCCCTACAGTCTAACCACACAGAGACGGGCGGGGTACAGCTCATCTCCTCCAATGTGTGCGGGAAGCATGGCATGTGTATTAGCAAGCCTGATGGAGGCTTCACTTGTGCCTGTGACCTTGGCTTCACCGGGACTTACTGCCAAGAGAGTAAGCTCTATTTCATGTCACACAACCAGACACAAGTTAGCTTGAATTTCTAGATTTCCAAAAAGAAGCAATATTACATATGACAGGGTAAAAGTGAGTATTTATAATTGTAAATAATTTGGCATCTCCCCTCCTTGTAGATGTCAATGACTGTAAAGAGAACCCCTGCCTTAACGGAGGAACCTGTATCGACGGTATCAACAACTACCAGTGTATTTGTAAGGAGAGCTGGGAGGGAGTTCACTGTAATATCAGTAAGTTCTCCTCCACTATTCAGTAAAATATGAACAGGAATCCAAGAAGTTTCACTAAAATAGGAAGAGATATTCAAGAAAATTTACTAATTTTTTTTTTTAGATAAGAATGAATGTTCACCCAATCCTTGTCGTAATGGAGGGTTTTGTATTGACTTGGTGGCAGACTTTGTTTGTGAATGCATCAATGGCTGGAAAGGGAAAACCTGCACTCTCAGTAAGTATCCTGACATGTATCTACTATATATAGTACTGTTACATGTCACTGCACTCTCAGTACGTATCCTGACATGTATCTACTATATATAGTACTGTTACATGTCACTGCACTCTCAATCCTTGTATCTACTATATACGGTGGTCACTGCACTCTCAGTAAGTTGTATCTACTATATATGGTACTGTTACATGTCACTGCACTCTCAGTAAGTATCCTGAATGCATCAATATATGGTACTGTTACATGTCACTGCACTCTCAGGGTATCTACTATATATGGTACTGTTACATGTCACTGCACTCTCAGTAAGTATCCTGACATGTATCTACTATATATGGTACTGTTACATGTCACTGCACACTCAGTAAGTATCCTGACATGTATCTACTATATATAGTACTGTTACATGTCACTGCACTCTCAGTAAGTATCCTGACATGTATCTACTATATATGGTACTGTTACATGTCACTGCACTCTCAGTACGTATCCTGACATGTATCTACTATATACGGTACTGTTACATGTCACTGCACACTCAGTAAGTATCCTGACATGTATCTACTATATATAGTACTGTTACATGTCACTGCACACTCAGTAAGTATCCTGACATATATCTACTATATATGGTACTGTTACATGTCACTGCACACTCAGTAAGTATCATAATAGATACATACTTAAGATTGTTAAAAGACACTCAGTAAGCATCAAGATGATACATATTGTAAACTGTTAGAGGATGAAGATAAACTTGATGTACAGAGTATCATGACTCTCTACAGGAGATTCCCAGTGTGACAGAGACACCTGTAAGAATGGAGGCACCTGCAGTGACCTTGGAGACACATTCACCTGTAACTGTCCAAAGAAATATGAAGGCAGCACTTGTCAGCTCTGTAAGTTAATTCTCCATATCACACATTTGAAGAAAACAACATAAACTATATTTCCTTCTGATGTCCTCCTGTTAACCCTTTTCTGTTGCAGCGTCTGTCAAGGCTTGCGATTCTTCTCCCTGTCACCACGGTGGGACCTGCGTTAACAGTGGAGACAGTTTTACCTGTATCTGTAAGGACGGATATGAAGGACCGCTGTGTGAAGCCGACATCAACAACTGTAATCCTTTCCCATGGTACAAGACATTCTTCTTCAATATTTAATAGGATCTGTGTAAATCAACCACATTTAGCTATTTGGATGATTTATGTTTCTGATATTTTTTCCCCAGTTACAATGGTGGTCGTTGTATTGATGGGATCAACTGGTATAGATGTGAATGTGCTAAAGGATTCGCTGGGCCTGACTGTCGAGTCAGTAAGTCAACTCGGGCATTTCTTGGGAAAATTTTATGAATTTGTTAAAAAGGGCATTGTACATGTATTTTGGTTTAGTTGTTTAATAAAGATTGTTTGAAGTTTAACACTGCAGTCAAATTCCATGCATATAATAATTTCTTTCAGATATAAATGAGTGTGCCTCTTCACCCTGCACTTTTGGCAGCACCTGTATTGATGGTATAGGTGATTACAAATGTATCTGCCCACCTGGTCGGACAGGTAGAAACTGTGAGGAGGTTGTGGGACAGATTCCCTCTCCTCTGTCATGCGAGTTCAATCGCAGGATTTACTCAGATCAAACCACATGGGAACATGAATGCAACTCCTGTACTTGTTCTAATGGTCAAATCAAATGCAGCAAGGTATTGTAAATAATCTAACCTTAAAGGTCAAGAGTATTTCTGCATTTTCAATTTTAACTATAATATTATAATCCATTATACACTTTCTGTTTCTTGAAATTTCACAAAAATTTAATGTGATTTATAATAAAAGTACATGTAGCGAGTAGAAATATTTAATGTGGATTGAAGAAGCAGTTCCTGGTTAAACCCTTAAATGTATTCCATATGACTGAAATTTTGTAAAATATAAGCTTGTAATAATAAATATTTCAGATTTGGTGTGGACCAAAGAACTGTATTTCTCATCAGAACACAACAGAACACCTAGAAGTCTGCAGTCCACAACAATCCTGTGTTGTACAAACGGAACATAACTGTTTTGTCCCCCCTTGTCTTCCCTGGGGCCAGTGCAAGGATCTGGACAAAATCACAGACCCTCTCCCCCACAGCATCAACACAAAATGTGTACCTAATGCAGCAGAACTTGGAAACAGCTGTGCCAAAATCACACTTATCTTTGAGCTCATGAAAATGCCAGTAGTAAGTTTCTTCCTCAAAATATTATAGTATGTTTCATAAATTTTCAGAGAATAATTAAGCTATGATGCCTAGATATATGTACTTTCTTTCCATATTAAATTTTATCAAATAGTTAATATGCTAGCTGAATGTAATTTTTTTTTAAAGACCGAAGTAAATATTGTCACTTTTATTTAAATGAAAACAAGTTATAAATATATGAATTATGTGTTCTTCGTCAACAGTTTGTTTTGATACGACAAAATTTCATATCTGCTATTTAAGGAATGAAATCACATTCTTATATCTGAGAATTCTTTATATGGTTTCTCTTAATTCATTTTAAAATGCCCTTTTTTAGTGAATACATCATTATTATTATTTAGGTTCACAAAAATTTTATTCAACCTTTAAAGCTGTACCTGTGCTTATACATGTATTTATTATACTAAAAGAGTTCCACTGAAATAAACTTTTCCTTTTGCTTTTAAGGGCATCACAGTGGAGTATATCTGTGACACTCTGCGCCAGTTCTCGGTCATTCGAGATCTGTCACATGATCAACAGATTTACATATTATGTGGGATCCAGTTAGGTCATCCAGACACTATAGAAGTCCTTATAGTAAGTCTAATGCTTACCTCCAGACACTATAGAAGTCCTTATAGTAAGTCTAATGCTTACCTCCAGACACTATAGAAGTTCTTATAGTAAGTCTAATGCTTACCTCCAGACACTATAGAAGTCCTTATAGTAAGTCTAATGCTTACCTCTTAATGTTTACCATGGTAATATCCAGACACTATAGAAGTCCTTATAGTAAGTCTAATGCTTACCTCTTAATGTTTACCATGGTAATGTAAGCTTCCTCAGCACCCTGTCAAATGCCAATCAGCTTACAATGTTTCCATCCCGTGTAAATTCAATAAATTATAAAATTATATTTTTATCAGGACTACTCATGACATCCGTCCACATATAAAAAAGGGGGGGGGCATCCTCAGCCCGTCACATGTATTTAAACACCCTTGATAATTTACTTCACATCCTTGTAAATCATAACCAAGTTCCATTTTTCGTTTCAAATATTTCATTTAATAAAGACTTCAAAGTTCAATGAAATATAACAAAACAGTCAGTACATCTATGAGTATATAAAGTCCTAGCTTAACATCTCTGGCCTAATAAAACACAGTGGATTGCGGTGTCCGTGCGGTGGAGAAATTATACACTACTTAATTTGTATTAGTTTACATTATTTTCTTTTACCTAAGTCACTAGTAATTTACAGTCAGTGATGTTGATGACGTAATATGATCTGATCGTTACGATCGTCGTGATGAAACTGGCGTTCGCTGCTCATATATATAACCTTCCATAAATGGTCACGTGATCACAACAACCAATGAATAATTGTCCTTTCTGGAGCCTCTCAGAACTACTTTACACACATATTGTGTAATACAAAGAAAATAACATCGCTCAAAATGTCCTTTCTACATGTAAAGTGGGAGCTATAAATTCTATTCGATATACATTAGAAAACAAGTTCAACAAACAATCTGTAATAAAACGGACACACACAATCCATGGCGTAGTAATACCGAACAATAATGCAAACACATAAGTATTACGCTACACATTCAAGTTCCAAAACATTTCGTCAAATACAGCATAATTAAATGACAATACTGCAATAAAATAACAATATTTGAGGACACGGACAGTGTTATTTCGATCTTATCAATTGTAAAACAATAATGTTTACGTCACATGACTACTTCCTTCGTAAGAAAGATGGCAAGCGCCCAATTTACAACACATGTGATAATGCTGAAATAAGTAAGTAAATTACAGTCGTAATATGGTAGATAATGATGAAAAACTGACATATAACATCTCAGTATAACTGTCCCTTACTGTCTATTCAACAATATCTCACTAGATCCTCTAGTAATACAAAAACAGCATTTGTTTACATTACAATGTCGAAGTGCAATGTATTGCATCAATAATTCAACTAAACAATAAGATAATGAAATAACATGAACAATAAAACATTTCTTATCAATTTACAACTGGATGCTACTTTACTTCACAAAAAAACACTCCACCATCAGCCTGTGATTAATTAATATGCAATATTCTAAAGTCCAACCCCCATGCATATTACAGTAATATCCAGACACTATAGAAGTCCTTATAGTAAGTCTAATGCTTACCTCCAGACACTATAGAAGTCCTTATAGTAAGTCTAATGCTTACCTCCAGACACTATAGAAGTCCTTATAGTAAGTTTAATGCTTACCTCCAGACACTATAGAAGTTCTTATAGTAAGTCTAATGCTTACCTCTTAATGTTTACCATGGTAATATCCAGACACTATAGAAGTTCTTATAGTAAGTCTAATGCTTACCTCCAGACACTATAGAAGTCCTTATAGTAAGTCTAATGCTTACCTCCAGACACTATACAAGTTCTTATAGTAAGTCTAATGCTTACCTCTTAATGTTTACCATGGTAATATCCAGACACTATAGAAGTCCTTATAGTAAGTCTATTGCTTACCTCCAGACACTATAGAAGTCCTTATAGTAAGTCTAATGCTTACCTCCAGACACTATAGAAGTCCTTATAGTAAGTCTAATGCTTACCTCTTAATGTTTACCATGGTAATATCCAGACACTATAGAAGTCCTTATAGTAAGTCTAATGCTTACCTCTCAATGCTTACCGCAGTAACATCCATTTCTTATGATGACAGAATGGAGAAATTTGGAAACCTTCATGTGGTAGTCCTATCAAATAATAAATGTTACCAATTTTATTTTTACTAGCTCGAGAAAATGCAATAGTGGAAACTGAGAATATGATAATTGAGAAGATTTGTATAAGTTTACTACATACTCATACAGTAAGGGGGAATAACTCACCTCTATCTTTTGTTTTAGTCTTCTGAGCGTTTGTCAGGAAACACTGATGAACTGGATCCAGAATTAAAATCCGCAGTCCATAAACTGACCAGTATTATCAGCCACAAGAAGTCCAACAGCAGCGCGTTATCTGCCGTCACTGAGGTCACCGTGGAAACTATTGTAGTCAACTCTGCTGAAAAGTCAAGTAAGTCCCACATAAGAACATACTTTACTGAAGTTGATATGCAAACACATTTGGATGAATTTATTTTTTGTTAAAAATATTGGTTTACTTTCTTATTTTATTCTGAAATACATGTAATTGATAATATAAATGTCTATGAATAGAGTTTAGTACAGGTAAAATCTAAGAAATTATCAATCAATATGGTTTTACCTTTCATTTTTTCCACAGAAGCAGGGCTGATCATTCCAGTGGTGTGCTCTGTGATTGGACTTGTGGGACTTTTAGTAATTATTGTGTTAATTGTGTGTCATCTCCGTCGTAAAAATATAATCGCCAGGAGGCGAGCAGAAGCACAATATTCAGAACAGAAAACAAACAATGAAAATGAAGAGAACCTTCGACGTTACAAAAACCCTCTGTTTGCTGGGACTGACAAGGGTGGAGGGACAAGCAAGGTGTCTGCTTCTGAGTTTCATGAAATGGATTTAGATAAATGTGAAAATATAGAAAAAAGTCCCACAAGATTACTCAGTGGGCGATCCGATTCGCCAAATGATTCCAATGATTGGAATAATTCTAGTCCTCCATCAAAAACCATTACAAAAGACATCAATATTGAGATTTCGCGATCCAAAGCTAGAGTAAGGGCTGCAGAAAGAGAGCTCATAGAAATTTCACGGACTATTGCTGCAGATTTAAGGTCAGAAAATGAGGTCATGGTGTGACCTTTGACCTTACTTGCAGGAGACATATTAATGGATCCAAAATGTTTTTCATGTAATTCTCAATCATTTATATTTGTGAACTTTAGCAGTAGACGATGGATCTCAATTTTTTTTCTCTACTCTGTGCCATGCCTTTAGCATCAGTTGTCACCATCTTGTAACTTATCTCAGTAATTTTCTGAGATTTAAAGACATCTTTTATTTAATTATGTGCTTAATACTTGACGTGATTTCTAAGTGTTGTTTGCCAATTTTTCCCTCCTTGCAGAGAAGCAATGATGTATATTTAAACGCTCATTTTGTTTGTCCGTCCCATCAAAGCAAATGCACTTTAAGTTTTCTTTTAAATCCAAAAAAACTGCATGAGCATGGAGAAAACAGTATAATTAAATTGTATTACCAGCTCCATGTGTTTTCTTTAAATTATGGATTTTGAAAATCATTAGTTTGGTACACTATCATAGGTAAAATTTTCAACTAGATTTTTTTGTCTACATTTTTTAAACAGATATATAAATCACAATGATTGATTTAAAAAAAATCACAATCTAACTGAAACTCTGCACGTCCAGAATTCTGCTTTTGGTTGAATCAACATTGATATATGATAATTTTGTCCATTAAACATCAGTTGCTACAATTCCTTGAAAGAAAAAAGGTATTGATTAATTAAAGACACAAAATCTCTTATTAATAAGTCATCTGCAATTACACTGGCATGGCACAATGTCATAACTCAGGTAAAAAATAACATTGTATCAAAATATCCTATTGATATTAAGTAAATATTCTCTGTTCTCTCCACTAAAACACAGTATTTATAAAAGAGATCTTTCTGCTGCAGAAGTTTAAACAGGCAGCAGACTTTGTATGCTTCACCCATCAACATTTATCTATACCTCCATTAAAGTACCTGCTGGGCACAATGCAGTCATAGGGCAAACATATATCTCCATACATGTTTTTTCCTTGCCTCAAAACAATCCAATATTTTTATTTCATTTGATTTCATCCATACACTATTCCTGTCAATCATGGTTTGCATTTATACATATATTCTGGAGAAGAAAAACAGAGCCTCACGTTATACTATGATAAAAATAAATATACAGAAACTGTCATGTGTGTTGTATGGCAGGTAATAGTTTGGTTTGGTCCTTACACTATAGCTTCAATTTGTTTTAAACTACACAATTTCAAACCATAATTACCATTTAAGAAAAACTTTCGTTTATACTACTCATATACTTGAAAAAGTTACCATACTCATGTTCTTGTTTTATATACATCCAAAGCTCAAAATTTCTGTTTTTTGCAAAATAGTGCTATTTTCTCAGTTTTTGAGGAAAAAATTACACTGTGCACCATATATGTTTATTATTTTTCTTCAGCTTTGACAGTATTGCAAAAAATCCTTTTTATACTTCTACTGACCCTTCCAGGGTTTAATGCATGTAAATAGGGGCTTTCCAGTTGTGTTTAAAAGACACATCAAATTTGTGCAATTTTTTTTCTTTGTTGTTTGATTACATTGTGATAAATCTTTCCATTCATATTTAGATAGTATCGTTGATTTTATGAAAACTGTCACAAGGAGAAATGACATTTCTTTTAGTTTGTCACAATGTAAAGAAAATAATCAATAATGATATGTCAATTTTCATGTGACAGTTTTCTTGTGTCATTTAAGTTTGAAAAAATGAATATTGTATGTAAGCTGCATGTATGTGACTAATGTCAAAATTGTCAAAAACAGAATAAAAATGTGGTTTAAAACAGTATCTCAAGGCTTCCATTCCTTTAAAATCCAAGGATTTTTTTTTTTTACAGATGAACTTAGTATCTCAACACCGTTATCTTGAATAACATAAGTGGATAAAATGAGTTGGAAGTCTTCGGTTAACCACTAGTTTTCTCTTTGCATTTTTCTTCTTATTAAATATCTTTAATCATTCAATATTTCTAGTCCCATCAAGTTTGAGATTACATGAAGAAAATGGCACACCTTGATCAAAGGAGCAAAATTATACTTTAAAGAAAGAAAGTATATGACTAATGGGTTTTCCTTTTTATTCCATTTAGTTTTGAATGATTTCTCCCTATTCAATCTTTTCAAAGCAAGTGTTAATCCAAACAGGAAAAATATTATCCATTCACTTTTTATGATTAGATAAACCTTTGCGTAATTTATCCTCTTGATTTTTGGCATAACAATCCTACAGTTGCATGTGAATGACTGTCAACTCACGATGCCAATAATCTGGTAAAAATCCACAATAAGAAGTTAATCCATCCGATTTCTTCTCTTTTACCTGGACATGCTGATAATCTCCCTTTGTTTTAATGATTATTTTCTTGATCAACCTCCAAACAAAGTAAGTTGAACAGAATATGTTGCATACATTGACAGTAAATGTCCTAATATGGCAATGATAGACACTTGAAGGACTCTCCAGTGTGGCAAGCAAACTGAAAAGAAGAATAACCCCATTAAAAATATCTAAATTCAGATTTTATTATTTTATTTATTAATCTCCATGAAGGGTTTTTGCTTTAAGGCCCTAAACTGTATTCTCTACAACATGATGACCAAGAATTATTTAAGAAAATTTACTCCCCCTCCTAAAAAAAATTTCTCCCACAAAAATTCTCTAGTGAAGCTGAAAAAGGTGTTCCAGTCGCACTTGACTAAATGGAACACAAAAATTGATATGGCAAAAATCTGAATTCTTCTATAGGGAATAAATTTGAAAACTGTAAAACAGTGCTGCATGGTCAAATGAGTGCCAAGATTCAGATTACTCCTATTATTACTTTTTTTTCAGAGTCTGGAATTACAATATGCTTTTTCCCCTGACCATTATAATTGCATTTATTTGCAGCAAGTTTCACTAAAAGGTAAAATAGTACTTTAAAACAAACTGTACCCTCAACTTAGTTCAATCCTTATTGTAGCTGCAATAATATAGCCCTCTCCTTTTTTTTTCTCCAGAAAATAACAGATAAAATTAGAGGCCCATGGGCCACATCGCTCACCTGAGCACTAAGGGTAGGAAAAAGTAGAAAATGGCTTTTTATTGTAAAGTTTAAATCCAAATGTAGTCCCATGACCAATCATGGATTTGCTATTTTTAGAAAATGATTTTTAAAGAATTTTCCCATATATTTCTATGTAAAACTATGGTCGGCCATTGTGGCCACGCCCTACACCTGGGGGTCATGATTTGAACAAATTTGAATCTACACTACTTGAGCATGCTTCCATATGAATGTGATGAAATATGGCTTTGTCATTCTTGAGAAGAAGATTTTTAAAGAATTTTCCTATATATTTCTATGTAAAACTTTGGTCGGCCATTTTGGCCCCGCCCTACCCCGGGGGGTCATGATTTGAACAAACTTGAATCTACACTACCTGAGCATGCTTCCATATATTTATGATGAATTATGGCTTTGTCATTCTTGAGAAGAAGATTTTTAAAGAATTTTCCTATATATTTCTATGTAAAACTTTAATCGGCCATTTTGGCCCCGCCCTACCCCGGGGGGTCATGATTTGAACAAACTTGAAACTACACTACCTGAGCATGCTTCCTTATATATATGATGAATTATGGCATTGTCATTCTTGAGAAGATTTTTAAAGAATTTTCCTATATATTTCTATGTAAAACTTTGGTCGGCCATTTTGGCCCCGCCCTATCCCCGGGGGTCATGATTTGAACAAACTTGAATCTACACTACCTGAGCATGCTTCCATATAAATATGATGAATTATGACTTTGTCATTCTTGAGAAGATTTTTAAAGAATTTTCCTATATATTTCTATGTAAAACTTTGGTCGGCCATTTTGGCCCCACCCTACCCCAGGGGGTCATGATTTGAACAACTTGAATCTACACTACCTGAGCATGCTTCCATATAAATATGATGAATTATGGCTTTGTCATTCTTGAGAAGAAGATTTTTAAAGAATTTTCCTATATATTTCTATGTAAAACTTAGGTCTCATTTTGGCCCCGCCCTACCCCTGGGGGTCATGATTTGAACAAACTTGAATCTACACTACCTGAGGATGTTACCCCATAAGTTTCATCTTTCCTGGCACAGTGGTTCTTTAGAACAAGATTTTTAAAATCTGCCACCAAATTTTCATTAATTCCCAATTATCTCCCCTTGAGTAAGGGCGTGGCCCTTCATTTGAACAAACTTGAATCCCCTTCACCCAAGGATACTTTGTGGCAAGTTTGGTTGAAACTGACCCAGCGGTTCTTGAGAAGAAGTCGAAAATGTGAAAAGTTTACAGACAGACGGACGGACAGACGGACGCCGGACAAAATGTGATCAGAAAAGCTCACTTGAGCTTTCAGCTCAGGTGAGCTAAAAAATCGGAGAAGGCTACATTATTGCAGCTATCCTTATTGAACTTTGACTTTTTACCTGGAATTAATCCACTCTTTTCTTTAAAAACATGCATCTCTATAGCAACTTTGAGTCTTATCGCAAATCTCGCTTGAAAGTATACACTGCAAGTTCGATTACGATTACCCCATCCCTGACTGCAACCGAAATACCGTTGCGTTGAGTGATGACACTATTGGACTCCTGTGATTGGATCTGACAATTGAACAATTTGAATCACGGGTTTCTTTCTATGAAAACATGCGTTTAATTGGTTGATTAGGACCCGCCCACTCTCATGCAGTATCCATTGCCTATATAAGTTGGAAAGTGTCCAACGGCCTTGCGATTGTCAAAAACCGATGGTGACTTTTTGAACCAAAAAATACCCAAACAAACAAATTATAAAATCACTTTTTAGCATGTGATATACATGTATTCCTTTCGCAGACGGTACATGTATATTGTTCGATGACACTATTTTCATTTTATTCTTCATGTATTTATGCCGATTTTCTATTCTTGGCATTTTCCATTCTCACCATCTCGGTGTTGCAAATTGAAAATGTGTACAAGTTACTTAGAAAGCATACCCAGCTAACACCGGAGCACCTGTTGAAAAAATATAAATTCATATGTGGTAAAACATCGGATTTATTCAAAATTTTACCAGTTTATTGTTTTGTTGTCACCACTGTCAAAAATGTGTGTGTGCAACTGCATAAACAGTCGAAATCGCAATATCAAAACATGCGATCAGAAAAAAATTGAAATCCTTGTGGGTTATTTTTTCATGCAGTGCACTTTTTACTGTAATGGCAAATATAATTCATATGTTAACTATAAAATAATTAATATCACTTTTTTTACCAAATCTAAGTATGTTTAATTTTAATGATGTACTGAAGAAAAAACGGCCGTGTTTTTCAATTGCAAAAATATGCTCTGGGTGAGAGACCCGGGTGACGTGTATCATTTTAAGTCAACTTATGCCACTCCTAGAACAAAGAAGAAGGTATGGTTTTAGCTTTATTGCGCCCTAAAAATGTAATGACATCAAAATGTTTTGAAACTGACTTTTATATTAGTTAAATAAATGACTGATAAATCAGGAAAGAATATGGCATGAAGGTTTACCATTCTGCAAATATGACATCATTAATATGAAGCATTTCTCTATTTTCAACAGAAAAAGCCTCAAAATGGCACATTTCAAAGGTAATTTTCCTTTAGAAAACAGTGTCCACAGCAGTCGCCCACATTAATTTTTTAATATTTTGTGCAAAATTCAATAACAAATCACATATCTCAAGATCTTTGTGGGCGATGCCTGTGGACAATGTTATCTGAAAGAAAATTCCATTGAAAATTGGTGTATTCTGCATATTTTTAAGAAAATACGGGAAAATGCACATGTTTATGACGTCATAATTAGCATTTAAAAACACATGTGAGAAAAATGACTTGTATGATTTTTTTGCATTGAATTTCAATTATTTATATATACATTTGTGGTATCTCTCCATTATATAAACATACAGAGAACAAATATCTTCAATTCTGTATGAAGTTTGTCAGAGGTCAATACGTGACCTAATCACACGGCGCAATGATCTCTACCGGTGCATAAATTATAAAATGACTTGCTCTACTTGGTTTTCGTGTATAAAAAATGTACAAAATAAGCAAGTAAAATAATAATTATTTTATTTACAATGTAAACGAGTATTTCAAACAGTTTTTGGCTATCGATTTAACCTGCAGACATAGAGAATATACACATAAAAACTTGTTTACAAGTTTTATGTCACTTTTGTCAGTCTATCATGTTTATCCTTATTTTTGGAATAGAACTTTCGTTAAAATTCCAAGAACATTATAATTTTTTCATTAAATTGTACTCACGATAAATGTGTAAATCTGTTGGAAAATATCAAAGCATTTGCATTCACGCCAAGAACAGCTGACAGACACTTCGGCGTCGTCGTAACAATAAGCTGTCGCCAGTGCCTCCATGTTTTCATCATAGTTTCAATGTTTTTTATCAAATTTAATACTTGATTGCAAATTAATTAATTGGCTCTGTCAAGTGTTTCCATCCATCGGATCCATCATCCCTTTCCGGCGACCAAAATTCCTCCAACTTTTTATCATCGATCTTCGGGCGCGTTTCTTATCTTTTCAGCATTGATTATCAATTTTCACGATAAAAATATACTCAGACAACAATCTGTTCGCTATTACTGATCACAAGTAGCCTTTCACAATTAAATATTCCCTTGGAAATAAATCCTTAGCCTGGTGAATTCGAAGCGTAACCGCCATTCAAGCCGATTTACACCTTGCGTCATTTTTTCAAAATCTACGACGGGCGGTTAGTGCAATAATTTATTTTTAAAAATATTCAATTGTCTGTCTCAAATGTATATACATGTATAAGTAATAAATAACAAGTTTATAAACTTCAATGGGAATTGAAGTGGGTCAGTACGTGATGTTCTGAGAAGGCCTTTGGCCTTCACAGGATTTGATCACGTGACCATTCAATTCCCATTGAAGTTTATAAACTTGTTATTTATTTCTTTAAAAAAGCATGACTTTTGAACTTATACATCAGTTTCATTTTTTAAAAAATTACAGGGCATAATTTGTATGGAAACCATACCTTCTTCTTTTATTTCAAGATCATTATACAGGTTACCCACACTCATAATAATTTAATAATGTATTGCATAGGTCCTCTAAACAGTAGGGGCCTACCACTTGTTTTGCCTATTTTCTACAGCTTGGAAACATTCTATGAGAAAGTGGGTGGGCCTAAAAAAAAGCACCAATCAGATTCTTTGTTGGATCTCGCAATTGTAATTCAGTCAAATTCATCAGTGTCGTCACTCAACACATCAGTCTTTCGGTCGAAGTGTACACTTTCAAGCAAGATTTGCGATAATAAGTCAAAATGTGTTCTTAATATTGTGTCCACATTAATAATTCAAAACTAAAATGACCTTGACCTTTAAATGCTTAAGCAATGTGTTGCTAATCATCTACCATCTCCAAAACAAGTAAGTGCTTGAAATATCAATTTTTTTCTTTTCTTGTGGAATCCATAGCTATCTTGACATGACCTGTTGTAACTCAAATAAATTGATGTGTATCCTTGAATCTAATGCAAATTCATTTCAGCTATTTTATCCCCATGGACTGTTGTTGTAAGGGAATAAAAACTAAACAATTCTAATACAACACAAGTCCATACTACATTTATTGAGGATGACCACTGATAACATGTAAAGCCCTTCTCTGACTGGAACCTACCTCTTAAAGCCTGGACACTGGCTGCACATATGTACGTCTTGATAAGCTGGATATATAAGTGACTGTTCTTAGTTCCCCACAGTACAGCCAGGATCACTAGGAACTTGCCAAAGTTAGACAGCACCACAGCTTGCACAAGATTTGAAATGTCCTTCCATCTTAAAAGAATGCAAATCTATTTTTTATTGACATTTTAACACTTTAGGGAAAATATTTACATTGTATAATTATTATGAAAATTCTATTGTTTTGAAATCAATTCATAACTTTTTTTCAAAATCAGGATAAAATTTATTTTTTAGTTTTGATGTGATTTACATAGATGATAATATAATACAACACAAGTCAAACGTAGAGTCATACATTTACCTGTTACAGCTATAAGAACTTAATGTTGGATTTAAAGAAGAAAATACCATTACCAGTACACAAATACAAAGGACTAAAGATGATAGTTCTGAAAATAAAGCATCAATAAATAAACCTGCAAAGTGATCATCATGAATAAAAAATTTGTAACATGCATAATTTTAGTACTTCAAAGTCCTATATATTATCAAACAAGCAAAAATGAAGCAAAAATAATTGATCACAAATTATATCTACTCAATATGCGTCTTAAACTATCAAACCTTCTTTAAAAACTATCATTTTTTTGTTTGTTTACAAAACTATCAATTTTTTTTTTTATAAATGAACATAAAGAAATGTTTTTCTTACCAATGGCAGCCAATAAACAGTTTTTATAAAGTCCCCATTCCATGGCAGAGTATATGATGTAAGTTGGATTAACAGGAGTGATCTCCCCTTTGGCTCTCTGGAGTGCTAGCTTGACAAATGCATCACATGTCAGTAATAAAATGACATACTTCCAAACACCCTATAAAAGCAATGGCAGTATATATTTTGCTTGAATACACACACAAATTTACAATATACATTATTATAAATCATCAAGTGCATACAGAAGATTGACATACATTTACTACAAAATACAGTAGGGCTGGGAGGATGCATGTTTCAAGACATGAATCATGATATTAAAGCCATGATATGATTTAGTGGTATATCTTATATTATAAGGGTCCAGATGAAATTTAACATACAAAATAGAACTTTTTGAAATGTTATGTTCTGTTAAAAATGCACTAAGAGGAATTCTACTACGACTATTGGCTACTTCAAAGGAAAGCCGCGGACATTATTCTCCAATAAATCACGAACGTCATCAAAAAATTATCAGATCAGAAACACGTATAAAACCTGTGCAGTTGAAATGTACATTTGACTTAAGAATGAAATACGTATTTAAACCACATTGATGTGTCGTCTTTTGCAATTTAAACACTGTATATTGAAGAAAGTGGCTGATGAATGTAGGTTTCTAAGGCAAAGCAGGGCTGTTTCCCGAACCTCCCTCCGCCATATTTAAACTCCGTGATCTTGGTAATAAAGTGGTAAAATAGGAAGCTGATTTTTTTATTGTATATTCAGAAAGATTAATCTTTTAAAGCTACAAACAATAAAAGGCTAATTTTAATGCAGCGAAAGCTCAAATTGTCTGCACTCTATTCACAGGTAAACAAACAAATTTACACTCTAGTGTTAAATGGAACAAAATAGCATGGTGACCTAATTTTCTCTATAGAGAAACGATGTTATTTTAGGGCTGCTAACTACATGTAGCAGAATAAAAATGCCTTGTTTACGTGAATGATGCAGAATAACCTCCTCGGTCTCGAAATGTTGTTTGAAATATAAAAGCCTCGGCTAACGCTAACATTCATGAAAACGCGGACTTTATTTCTTAAATAAACTGGAAAGAGAATCAGTGGTTTTGGATGAAGCCAGGCACAGCTATACATACCTGTACATTGCTATTAAACAATACGTGACGTAATGCCTTTCTGTTGAGAAGCAGGACATCCAAACTGATGACAACTGGGTCGTATTCTATATACTTATCAATGATTTCACTGCACTGCACCTGGAATATTCAGACATCACTAAAAGACTTGCTGCTACTCCATGAATCTCTGTTAAAATATTTACCACTCTTTAAGCATTAGGTCAATTTATAAATAGAATTAACCTGTACAAGTGTTAAAGGTTTCAAAATTATATTTTCATCAATGAATAAAAGATCAGTGTTCAGTGTTATAGAATGAGCAGGGGTATTAATGATTTCCTCTTCTGCAAAGTCTTGTATGATCACAAGATTTAGCTACAAAGCTTAATTACTTACACCTAGCTTTTTATTCAGGTACTCAAGGTAGCTTCGTTTAGCTACTTAATCATACTTTTTTCTGGATGTACAAATTATTCCTCTTTGATGCAGAGATAATATTCAATTTCAAGCTTATCTGAATAGTTCAATACAATTCAAGGAAAGATCAGTCTTTCAGATGCGAGACACAATTGCAATCAAATTAAGTTTTAGGGATATACTTTAGTGACCAAACAGTTAATTACTTTTAAAATAAAATAACAAAAAAGATCATAGATGTAATTGATTGACATGAAAATTGATTTGCGTAACAATTCAGTACAATGTGAAGTCACAAATTAAATGCTATAGCTGTGTATATAGCCCCCAATTTTTTTTTTTAAAAATTATTATTTTATGAATATATAATAAATATAATATATATTTTTTTGTATAAATTATAACCCAATGGTCACACCATAGATATGGCACGCCAAATTCACAAAAATGAGATAAACCTAGTTTCACAATTGATAAACTAGGTTTATCGACTGTAAACTATAGTTTACAAACCATAAACTATAGTTAACGATTCACACCTATATTTAACGGTTGTTAACTATAGTTTACAAATGATAAAGTTTATCTGTCTGTCAAGCGTTAACAATAGATTTTGTTGATAAACATAGATTCACGTTTGTAAACTATAGTTTACAAGTATAGTTAAGAGTTGTTAATCATAGTTTCACAAATCGTGAAATATTTATCAGGTTAACTATAGTTAACGGTTTGTAAACTATAGTTTACAAATCGTGAAACTGTATTTATCAATTCTATGTTTTGCAATCGCAAATGATTGTTTTCAGTGTTAAGTATAGTTTACGGTTGTAAAACATAGATTATCGCGTTAACTATAGTTTACAGATGTAAAATATAGATTAATGTTGTTAACTATAGTTTACAGTCCGTAAACTATAGTTTACAACCGATAAACCTAGTTTATCGACTGTGAAACTATGTTTATCTCATTTTTGTGAATTTGGCGTGCCATACATAGAACATATTATAAGTTAATTGTCCCATGCTTGCAAGTTTGTTTATTTTGAAAAGGAAGCAAAATTTTTAAAACTTAATTGCACTGAAAATCATAATAAAACCACTTCAAGTAGCTAAATATAGAGCTGTGGCAGGTATTTCCAGCTCTGAAGCAAAATGTACTGATTCAGCTGAATGTACTAATTCAGTGATTGTACCAGGGACCTACTAAACAAGGATATATTCTCAGGTCCCTGATTGTACCGGACCTGTCTACCACATATAAACTGAAGAACTATTTACACAATGCATCATTTTTATGATTCCATTTCTGTAATCTTTATAGAGGTCACTTGAACCAATTCCACAATTGATACAGCGGTACTGCATGACAGCTCTGCCTGGTTTGAGTACCTCTGGCCCTGTCTCAGGTTTTGATTTTTCCATGATGTGTATAAAATCTGGATTGAATATGGTGTGAAATACGGCTTGTCTTGTTGGGAAAAAATAAATTACAAGTTTAGTATCAAAAGTCAAAGGATTCTTTTTTTAAAGAAATTATTAAAAAGTCGCATTTCATTATTTTAAAATTATTTTGCTGATTCTCTTTATCCTTTTAAATGGAAAAAAGGTATATCCGGGATTATGTGTTTTGTTGTCTTATTTTAAATTTAGCGGGCGTAATGTTTTTCCTGCACGAATATAAAATGTGCTTACCGTGCTTGTCTTCTGTCTCAGTGTATTTTGACTGCATTTAAATATTATTAATATAAAAATATCATTAATATGTCTGCGAGTTATGATGGAACAAGTAAGAGTAGTAGAGCTGAGAATAATGAAAAGTGAGTGCATGTGTCTTCTTGAACTTATTTTAGGGGAAAAGATTTTCCAATGGGACAGGATTTTTAGCCCTGAATTAGAGATAGTATTATATTTTATTAAATTTGTAGTCATTCCCTATGCTCCTTAGATTTCAAGTCAAAATTATCTCACAGTGAACCTCTACCACACTGGAGTATTAGCAGGTGCAGCACAATACCCTGATAAAGGTTGATCAAGGTATTTTATGGAATGAAAATTAAAAAAAAAATCTTTAAAAATTAAATACTGAAAGTCAAGTTCTGAGTTGTTGTCAGTAAATTCACCCATGCATGTAAAGTACTCATGCAAACCCAAAGAAGTCAGTATAGAAGCATGTTGCCATTCTTTTATGCTGTCTTTTTGATACCAGAGTGCTTTTCATGCACGAGTGGACACACTGACAACTCATAATTCGACTTTTGAATTTAATTTTAAAAGAATTTTTTTTTTATTTTCTGTACATAAAATACCTTGATCAAGGTATTTGTAATACCTTAATAAAGCTATATAGCTTTAACAAGCTGTATACCTTGATCAAGGTATTGTGCTGGACCTGATTAGTCCTTCTCAAACTGAACTTGCATGGATGGATAGGGATTTTCTGGATGAGTGCCAATAATAAAGTTTTTGAAGCAAGTCCATTCCCAAGTTATTTTAAGTCATACCCAACTTGCATGAATGAGGCATCTAGGGACATAGCTGCAGATCTGTAGCGTTATGGTTTTATATATTTGTCTTTGACCATAACGCTACAGATCCTGTAATGCAAAAAAGGTGCAATTTACGGCGCAATATTTTTTGCGCACTTTTGGGGAGAATTTCTCCACTTTTCAGCATCGGTCAATTAACTTCCTTGTACTCCTTAATTCTAGGCACATTATTTACTTAATCTGTATATTTTATCTATCTCCTTACCCCTTATAGTCGACTCTACAAGTTATAAACTCGCTTGATTAAAATTATTTGTTAGATTGCTGAAAATTCACTTCAAGCGAGTTTATTGCCTGTAGAGACAACTATAAATGGTTGAGAGGTGGATAAAATATACATATTGGCTACAGAATGTGTCTAGAATTAGGGAGTGAAAGGTAGTTGATTGACCAATGCTAGAAAGTGGAGAAATTCTCCCCAAAAGAGCGCAAAAAATATTGCGCCGTAAATTGCACCTTTTTTGCATTACAGGATCTGTAGCGTTATGGTCAAAGACAAATATATAAAACCATAACGCTACAGATCTGCAGCTACTAGGGACATACCACCAGAATTGCTTTGGATTTTGGAATTGGCCTTCATTTTTCAGTTGCAGCAGCATTACCAATTAAAATTTTTGGAACAGAACCATTCTACCTAGACTAAAGATGACATTACTAAATTTGCTTGACTTGCTCCACATTTTCCAGATGAGGGAACATGCTGAAGATTTTGCTTAATGTCCACTCCTTAGTAAATTCGAGCCTCACCTTTACCAAACTTGCATGGAAGATGCATCTAGGGATGTACATTAATTACCTGAACTGCATAGGATGCTGGATCTGACCTTCTTTTCTATAAAAGTGTCCAGCTTAAATTTTTGAAGCAGGTTAATTCCCAGGACTACCTTATCTACAAGGATGGTCCATCTAGGGATGTTACCGGTAATAGCAGACTTGCTTTGTTTGCTGTGTCTGAACTACATTTTCTAGATGTCAATTGTCAATTTTTATGCCCCCCTTCAAAGAAGGGAGGGCATATTGCTTTGCTGCTGTCTGTCAGTCGGCTGTTGTTCCACTTAGTTTCCGTTCATTTTCTTCACAACCGTTGCACATACTGAAATGAAATTTGGTATACAGATATATCAGATGAATATCTAGATTAAGTTCTGTTTTGGGTACAATTGCGCCATTTTTAACAGAGTTATGCCCCTTGGATTTAGAAAAATTCCATTTATTTGCAGTTTCTGTTCATTTCTTCACAGAGGTTGCACATACTGATAAATGAAATTTGGTATACAGATATATCAGATAAATATCTGGGTCAAGTTCTGTTTTGGGTACGATTGCACCATTTTTGATAAAGTTATGCCCTTTTGGACTTAGAAAAATTCCAATTTGGGGGAAGAGGCCTAAGTGTTTTACAAAAATATTTTGTATGGTGTAGATCTGTCCTGAAGTACCTCTACAGTCTTCCGTGAAGCAAACTTCTTGCATGATGCATAATATATAGAATGTATATTTTGTAACATAAAATGCGATATGAATAAAGTGCTGCTTTTGTATTTGGACATAGGTTCAGTTTCTTCATGATACACTATGTTCTATTTCAAGATACACTAATGTATCTTTCTTAGATACATTAGCTCTCTGATATTCAAGTTTCTTGTCACCACTTTTATTTTATACATGAATCACTAACAATCTACTAAGTGCACTTCAAGATCCTTTAAAAAACTTTGTTACATGTTTTGTTATGAGAATATTCCAAGGTATTAACCATTGTTACTTTTACTGAAGGTCCACAAAAGACTTCAAGGAGTTGATCGACAAAGAAGAATATGAGTTGAGAAAGCGCCTCCCAAGGAAATTGCCCAAGAGGAAAACAGATGTGTATGTTACCAGAAAGACTAATTTTAACTGTCAGCTAGAGAGATCACAGAAAATCCTGGATTCTGAAAATGAGGTTTATGTACACGGTCTTGGTGCAGCAATAAATAGGGCTATAAACCTGGCCTTACAGTTACAATCCAAAGGTCAAGGTTCTGTGGAAATGTCTGCTCACACTTCAACCGTGGAATTAGTTGATGACCTTGAACCTCAAACAGATGACCTGGAAGCAGAAACTCAGTCAAGGAATAATTCTGCAATTCATATTAAGTTGTTTAAAATAAATCCACTAAAGGTTGAGCTATCACAAGACAAAGGTGAAGCATGATAATTATTGTATTTAGTTATATGAATGAATTAAATTTGAGTCATGATTTTAAAAAGTCTTGTTATAGTTTACAGAGTACTTTGAACTGTTCTCTACATGCAGATGTAAAGGAATCGTTTTATAAAGAAATAAGTCAATATACAGAAAGTGTTCTTTCTCTTTTCTACCTTTTTTTAAAAAAAAGTTCTGGGGATGGGATGGGGTTGGCATATGACACATAAGATATAAAAGATCATATTACTGTGGAATCAGCAATGGTTTTTGGGAACCAATGTTCGTGGATTTTGTGAGTCAATCTTATTCCCGAATTTACATGTCCAAAATTTTTTTTGGTCAACATTTATTCATTGAATATTCTGTTTATATGAGTTACCCACAAATTTACATCCCAACAAACCTTTACTTACTCATGAACATTGGCTCCCATGAATTAAGATAAATTCACAATGATTCCAAAGGATTTCAAAGAAGGCACAAAAGAGTATAATGGAATGGCTTGTTGAGAAGAGGAATGGGGGAAGGGTGAATAGAGTCTATTAGCACTGAGATAAAAGAGTCAATATACCAATTTAATAACAAGAATTGTAAAGTATTATGCCAAGGATAGGATTTAATTTATTTATGAGAGTCATTCCTGTTTATTCCTTTCGGAGCACAGAGCTACAACCACATCTTGCCAACAGATTCTGTATGGAGCTGAATTTTTCAACTGTACTCGAGTAAATTCTGCCTTTCTTGCCTCAGCTGTTTCTATGGACACACTCCTCTCTAGGTTTGCCTAGATCTTCCAGCTCTTCTCTTTCCCTGTAATTTCCAATGTGACATGTGGCACAGTCATACAAATTCCTAGTGATGCATGAACATGAACTTTGGTGGAATTCTATTCTATATTGTTAATTTAATATCCAAATTATTGACCTATTCACATTCTCAAGGGCTTTCTTAAACTCCTCCAAGTCTGAATAAAGAGGAGAGTCTGCCATTCACTGAACTGTACAAGGATGATAACAAGAGAGGCAATGTTATCTGTGCGTGAACAGTCTTAGTAGAACCCACTTGCTTTGATCTTAGTTTTTTTTTTCTCCAGTGCTTTCATTCTATCAAAAATTATACTGTTTTGAATCTTGCTGGAAAAGGATCGACAAGACCATGATTACTTACTGTGAAAGCTATAACCACTTTTTTTAGTAGTTTTATTCATGATAATGGAATAAAACTGTTGTTCTACTCATTTCATTTACAAAGTAGTAATAGTAGTTGTAGTAATAGTAGTAGTATTAGTAGGAGGTAATGGTGATTTTTTTTTTCTTTAAAAGATTGAAGATATCACTTTGAACTGCTATATCATTCTAATCACAAAAAGTGATCATATTTATTTGTAAAATAATTTAAGTTATTTATTTATTTACCCATTTTTGTTATTTTCACAGGTGCTTGGGGATGGGATAATTTCTGTTTAACGCCAAAAAAAAATTAATCAATAGTTTCTCAGCACCGCTTCTTGCATGATGCACAATATACGAATGTATATTTTATAACTAAAATGCAATTTTCTTGCTTTTTCCAAGTTGGAAAAGAAAAACGAGTTATTCCCCTTTTCATTAATGCTAAGAAAGACGTTTTATTCAAGTTTCTTGTGAAAAACAATATATTTCTTCTAAATCTAAAGTATTTTATCAGTTAACTTTTAAATAAATGTTTGGAATAACATTACTTTATGTTGAATTGATATTATAACTAATTTAAGAGAACAAAACTTAAGAATTAGACAATTAGTAGACATTATCATTTTACTGCACAAATGACTTACAAAAAAAGCTGTAAAACCTGCTTCCAAAAAAAAAAAAAAAAAAGCCTGCCTGCCGCATTGAATTTTGAATTTTTTGGCCTGAGAAACAATTAATTAATTTTTTTTGGCATTATATAGTATCAGATAGTATGAATTTTTATAAAAGGCTAGTTTAAGCTTAAATTTTGGATTTTTTTTAGTTGTAATGCTTTGTGAATATGTTATAGAAAATATTTTATTTAAAAAAGTCAAAGAACCCTTGGGGTACTAAACAGGGGGGGGGGGAGGGTCCGTCCCCAGGAACCTGTGCTATTTTTTTTTATTTCTCTTCACAGGGGACTCACTTCCTAAATTATCAATGAGTATTTTGTCAGACTTTTTAAATTGTTTTGTTTTGTGTTGGTTTTATTGTTTGTTTTTCAGACTGTTTTTGAAAGAATATTCGAAAAATGAATTCATACGACTAAGTCATGGAACGAGTTGTCCGGACCTGTCTAGAGATTGTAAACAAACTTTCACGCCATGAAAAAGGGTTCTTTGTTTTTTCCTTCTCGTTATGTCAGTTCACACTGTCTTGTCACCTCCTTTGAAAATTTAATGTGAAAGAGTGTTAAATTTTTCTTTGACACGACAAAAATTGTGAGAGAACAAGAAATCGGCTCGCCAACTGTGGATAGAATTTCCTCTGTTGTAGTTCTTCAAACCGGTGATTGTTTTTAAGGTATATCCTTTCATGAATTTGATCTGTTAATGCGTTTACTAATCCTGATCATCCGACATTCCCAAGTTTGTTTGGGTTGACTGAACTTGTTTCTTTTATTGATTGAGTTAATAACATCTTTATCTTCTTTCTCAATTCTGCACAGGTCTTGATCAATATGATTATTTTCAACCACAAAAGAAATATTCATGAATAAATTATGAAGACAATTTTATGCCAGTAAATGAAAATGGAGTATGTAGAATGTATGAAAACTGGGTACAACCCTGCCCATGTTCAAGTGGCTTGTGATGGAACGTTCATAGGACTGCCATTGACAAGAACAACAGTGGGTGTTTGGAATGTACAAGATCCCTCTGCTCAGGTAGGTAATTTGTCAGTTTTTATAAGAAAGAAATAACTGTCTATCTGAAGTCTGATAACTCATCCACTCAAGGAAAGGAGAAAGTGATATTGTAGTTTTGATGAAATGACTTTGATATATATTAGAGAATAAGTACACTTGAACAAGTAAAATTAATTGTAAAAACTGACAGATTTATTACAATCAAACAGCAATATTTTATCTTCCACTTAATTTTTTATAGAGAATCTATGCTATGTTGTTTAATATTCTCTATAATTTATATATAAATATTTACTGAAACCTAATTAGAAGTTTTATATCTGAAATGCATTGAATTGAAATGAGATAAATTTTTGCAGTATAGCTTCATGGAATTTTTTTAACTGAAAATATTATACTAAAACGTTTGAATTAATATTTTGAATTAATAAAGATATAAAGTGTACAGAATCGTGCTTATATTAGTACTACTTTTGTCATCTGAAGTTCTATTAAGTAATGAATATTTACATCTGTAGCCATTGAAACTTGAAGGACACAGGAAGATTCTTACCAGTTTAGTGCTGGGGAATGTTTCAAAACCCAAAAGACTGTGTACTGCAGCAGAAGACTACTTGATTGTGTGGAACATTCATCAGGCTCAGGAGAAGGCAGCGAAGGGTAGAGACTTTCATTAATCGAAAAACTTGTCATACTCAATTTATTCAAGAAAGTTTAAACAGTTTTGTTAAATTATTTTCTTCAGTATTTGATGTATGCATAATGCAATAATTCATTACTTAATTTTTAGATGAGCAGATAAAAGGCGTGATTATAGGTACAACACTTGGGTACATACAACACTGTGCATTCAGTCCTGATGATTCCCTGGTAGCAGCTTGCAATAATAACGATGTTCTAATTCTACGTTCTGAAGTAAGTTTAATAATTAACAGAATTATAACAACAAACTTCCCAAACATGCAGTGCTGACAAAAAGGCATTGATATATTTCCTCTGTAAATAACAGGTTTCCATTATTTTCAGAAATCAGAGGTAATAGCTGCACTAGAGGGCCACATGAATCGAGTCACTTGTGCTGAATTTTGTCCTCATTACTCATCAACTCTAGTCACAATATCTGAAGACAGAACATTCAAGGTTTGTACTTGTTTATCTTTTGTATTCATATGATCTTTTTCTGTTAAAATTCAATTGTAACGTTGATATGATATTCATGTCTATCAAAAATAAATACTCATGAATCAAATATTTTAAAAGGTATCAACAAGTGGGAAATAAAGATCTTTTTTTGTTCATGCATTTTACCCAATCATATCTCAGTGATGATCACATTTTATAGGTCTGGAACATAGCAGACCTATCACTGGTCTACCAGTCCACCATTATCACTGCCTCCCCATTCATCAGCATGACCATGAACTTTCACCTACCCCAGGTTGCCATAGGAACGGCGGATGGGATTGTGAGAGTATTTGACTTGTCTGATGGAAAAGATTTTCGATGTGTTCATCAAATTAACATTGGAAAAATAATGGATAAATATCGCCTCAATAAAGAGCAAGCACTGCCAACACCAAGATCTTCAAAAGATGGTAATAAGAAGTTCGAATTTTTAGTTATACCGGTATTAATATGTTTAGTTCTCAGAAAACTTTTAAAGAAATTTATCAGCTCTTTGAATCTTATGTTTACTTTATTCATCAAACTGAAGCCTATTAAGCTAAGTTTAATCTATTGGTCATAAAAAGTAAAGAAAAGATTGTAACAGTAAAAATAATAGGGAAAAACTAATGTTATATTCCAGGTCCAGTGAACTGTGTCACTGATTGAAATCTACTTGATGTGTTGTTTTACAGGTCCAGTAACTATCAGTAGTAAGCCGTCCTATCAGAGACGAGGAGACGGGGGAGAGCCGAGGGAGGAAGTGTCCGCACAGGACGTGGCAGAGACAGGATGTGCTGTTCTCGGTCTCTACTTCTCCTGGGTCCCACAGGATGACAGAGGAAGTTCGGCTCGATCTGTTGGCTTCCTTCAGAGAGCTAATACCATGATCAGGTACATTAACAACATATTCCATACATATCAATACTTTAAATCTCATATATCGTTATATCTTGTGTTTTTATATCTTGTCAAAAAAGAAATTATTATTTTTATTTGAATGTCTTTTTTTTAAAATCTGTTTTAGAGACCTCTTCAGTGCTTCTCCCATGTTGGTGGTTGGTACAACAGGAGCACTTCTTCAAGTAAATGCCAAGACAATGGAAGTTATCCAATACTTTGATTTACAAGGTACATATACATAATAAATGTTTTTTTTCAAAGTCTTCACTTTTTAGATTCCTGGGTGCTTTCACATGAGTTAACCTTTATTTCTTCTATAGATCCGATATTTGCTTTTCCAACATCAGATGGTAGGATTTATTTAGAAGTGTGCACCTCAAAACAACATAACACCATAGCAATTGATTTATAGTCAAGGCGAGGACTATTTCTTGTGTTTATCACTGTGATTAGGCTAAATACAACAGCATAGGCAGGAATTCACAACTTATAGTCAACAGTATAGAAATGATTTATAAAAGTTTGCTTATGATGTCTTCTCACTAGTAAATAAGGTAATTACCAATATTATGACACTGTTGGGCTTGTAAAAATATCATGATATTTTGTATATTGAAAAAATCGTGATATATCTGATGTCATTGGTAGCCATTTTCCAGTAACTATCAGTAGTTCATTTATTGAAATGGGACCATGCCACATCAAGATCAAAACCCTACAACTTTAGTTCAAGTATAGAGGATTTATCAAGCCTCTCTTCAGAACTGCCAGTTAATCAGACATCAGACAATAAATCACCCATTTTAACAGCATGTTCCATATCATCATTGTGATAAAACTCTCATAACTTATTTCTTGTGTTTTTTATATCTTGTCAAAATGAAATTATTGTACATATTTTGACAATTGTTTTATACAGACCTCTTATTGCATGATAGTAGTTGGTACTACAGGAGCAATTCTTCAAATAAATGCCAAGAAAAATTATCCAATATTTTGATCTACAAGGGGAATATATTTCTTGGCTGAATAAGTTTACCTATTAAAATTTGAAGAGCTATTACATGCAATGCATTGTTTATTATACCGAAACAAACAAAACCTTTGAAATAAACATAAACTTTCATTAACAATGCTGGTTCCGCTTACTTCAAATTCACTTTCATTTTTTACGTAAAGTTACTATAAAACCCTTTGTTCAACACATTGTCATCAGTTTTGTGACGTAAACCAGGCTATTGTGATGTCTACTTCTCTCGGGAGTTTTCGTTCAACGAACGAGAACTAATTTGCGGGAAAATACAGTAGGTGTTCCGAAGAGGTGAAATATGATGAAAAGCGTGCTGACGGCCGGGAAATATGATGTTTTATGGGCCCGATCATGTGACAAATTAGAACCAATCAGATAATGCGTTCTTTAGAATATTCATAATGAGGTATAATAATATTATTTCTTCATTCCAGTACACTTTTGTGATCATTTGTTTTATTTTTGTTGAAATGGGATAGAAAAATGCAGAGATGCAGATTTATTATACATGTATTGTACAGATCTGTAATACAATAATCTGCTCTACTTGCAGTGACCCCATGTTGCCAAATTCAATCCTCAAACAAGGTCTGGTTCCTAAACAAAAAGAAGAGGCCTCCTCTAAAA